AAAACAAACAAATGGTGATATTGCATTACAGCTTTCAGTTTTGGTAAAACCTAAAAACCCACTATATGAGAGTGAAAATTGTGAATAAAAACAAAGTAAATTATTCAATAAAAATTTAGTGATAATTGTAAATTAAAACACGCAAAGAATATATGTATGTATGTATGCATAAAAGAATTTGATTCAGTGAAGATTGAAAATAGTGATAAGGTGCAAAATGTTCTTATCAGTGAATTTCGTGAGCGGTAAGTTTGGCACTAAAAAGTTGATTATTTTCAGAACAAAAACTTAAAATCAAACTTTAATAGAAAATATTTTGTTAGTTGCTTAATAGAAAAAGAATTAAAATATGCAAGTTGCTTCGGTATTTGTGACTATTTGAAAATGCCGGTTGGCATTACTTTACTTTTAACTATTGGAGTGTTTTCGTATTCTCCAGAAAAAATTATCCAGCAGCAAAAACTCTGAGAATTTAGCAGCGTTCGCTCTCAAAGAGACAAATACCGACAGTAGTGCGAGTACGCAAAATTTACAAAAACCTGCTAACTTCGAAACAGCTGATCACTTTCACAGTTGCCACAGGTGGTTCATTTAGTAATTTATTTTCTGCTTGGTGGTACAATGTCCCCGATGTGGCATCCAGTGTTGCCGCGTGCAAATTTTTCCCCTACTAAATTATGATGCATTCAAAAATAAAAGGAAATCTCCTCCAAATACCCATCCTTGTTCCAAATAGATAGATTCAGTTAGATTTTTGTAGCTTCAAATGTACCCTGAAAATTATCAAATTTCAAATTTACTCAAAACTAACAGTTTACTGCATGCATTTTGTGGAAAAATATGGTAGAGGAAACATCTTTACGGCAACCATAGTTAAAATAAAAAAAAAAAATCAGATTTTACGAACCAATTGAACAATTGTAATACGAAATACGAATTACGTCAGTTAAAGTCAATGAAATTCTCCATAGACCGCATGTACATCACTTTTCGAAAGGCCTGATAGTTTCTGAGAAATTAATCAACAAAAAAAAAAAACAAAAAACATCTGGAGTTATTAATTAATTTCTCAAAAACTATTAGGTCTATCGAAAAGTGATGTACATGCGGTTTATGGAGAATTTCATTGACTTTCGTTTGACGTATTTCGTATTAAGATAGTTCAATTGGTTCGTAAGGTATATGTTATTAAGTGGAATCACTCTTTTTTAAGCTATATAACGGTAAATTGCAAATATCTCGAAAACGGAAGTGGATCTTGAGAACAAAAACAAAACTAAAATTTTTGATACAGTGTTATTATTAAAAAAAATAAAATAAAATCCCCCTATAAGGCATTTTCTTTACTGCGGAAATAACTACTGAGCAATCTTGAAATTCCGCATACTTCCGCATTGAGTTGTGGAGCATCGCCTACGGTAACTCTGTAGAATACTTGTTCCACCATCTTAACACATGCATCCCAAGGTAAAATCAAAGAAATCGGCAAAATGCCGAATGTCTCATTGGTAGTCATAAGTATTTTCTTTTCAAACTCAGCTACTTTTGGTTCGTTTAATGAGTGCATAATTTTTTATGACAATTAACTGGCATCCTATGTAAACGGGATATATTATCCCGTTGGTGTGCATTCAAAGTTTTTTTAAGCTTTTATTGACGCCTGTTGTAAATGCAAATATTCTTTATGAGAAAATATCCACACAAAATTAAAACTAAAATAATTCGTTATCCTACTTGCAGAACAGCTCATTGTGCAAGTTAGAGCTGCGAAAAAATCAAAACGATATCTACAACAAAAGGAGCAAAAAAAGAACTTTATATGCGAGATTTAGTCCCAATTAATGTTATGTAAACAGCCCAATGGAACATTTTATCCCAGGTCATAGTTTCTCTTTAAAGGATTTTCTTTGCTTTATTTGATATTATATCGACCCGAAAAAGTTACCTAAATTTCTTTAAGTGCGATGCTTATAGTATGGTAGTGAAGGGGTTAAGTAATTTGTTTTAGCTTCTTTTTCTTCATAAAGAAAAAACACAAAGCCTCGAATATACATATTTAAATACATATGTTTGTGTGTATGTAGCTTACAGGTGGCATAATATTGTTGCCGATTTTGAGGGCGATGCCTTTTTTTTTTTTTTTTGTATTTAAGATCTTAATGTAATTGTTTAACAAGGAAATTTTCGTATAAAAAGATTTCTTATTGTTGCTATAGGGAAAGTTCTTATTGATGTTATTAATAAGAAAAGGTTGATAAAATAGAAGCACTTCCAACTGCAAGCTGACATTGTAAACCCCCTCGCCACCTTCCATTGGTGCGTTGGCAGATGAGGGTTGCAGCACCGCAGGTTGCCTTCGATCTCCCCTGGCGTATATGATTCGAATGGAGGTCAGACTCGTGCTCGCGGACGCACCACCTACAATTTGGCACCCTCCCGCACTTTCGCAGTGCAGTGGCTGTCCAGAGTTTTCACTGCCTATTTAGCAACTTCATTAGACGATTTTGGCGCCTCTCTAGCAATGGTTTATTTTGATAGGAAGGTTTCTTCTAATTAAGATCGCTCTAGACCCTACCTGGTTGCTCTTCAAACTACTTCTCCGACACCTTGTGGCCCAGTCAAACTTCCCACCCATGCTTATCGATCAACTTCTCTGTACTCTGGCCACCGTGGCCATGCCTTGGTCAGCGGTCAAAGCTTCCGCAGGCGACTTCGCCCGTAACTTTTCCCTGCGGACGATTTCACCTCCAACCAATTAACCATCAATACTTCCTGAGACCGGTACAGAGGATGAGGCCGGTTCTGACCCAGCTCTGCAGGTAATATCAAAATCTGCTTAACCGAAGTCTGCCAAATGTTGAAATGTCATCCCACCGTTTGAGATCCAAGGTTACATAGAATACCTTTTTATACGTACTATCTATAAATTCGGCTACTTTTATGAGTCTTGCTAATAAAACTTATCTATTCTCATTGCAGTTACCCTTCTCGCAGTCATTCTAACTCTCTCTACTCACTCAACAACAGCAAATATGTCGAACGCTGGTCAACTCTCAGTGCAACATGAATTCGCCCGTAAGTCAGCGCAATTCGCGATCAATTTGTTCAATTTCATGTATCACAGAGAGCCCCAGAAGAATATTATATATTCACCCTTCTCGATACAGACATGCGTGGCTATGGCACGCATAGGGGCTACCGGTGAAACTGCGGCCGAACTTGACCGCGGACTGGGCCTGCCATCGAGCGATGTGTCTGTCATAGCAGACACCTTTCACAACGTCTTGGCCACCTACACAAATAGTACAATTTTGAAAATTGCCAACAAGATTTACGTCATGCAGGGCTACCAAATAGCCCCGAAATTTAATGAAATCGCTACGACCAAGTTCTTTTCCTCTGCAGACAGCATTGACTTCCGCAGTAGTGTTGCCGCAGCGAACACAATTAACCAGTGGGTTGAGTCCCAGACCAATAACCTAATTAGAAATCTCATTTCGCCGGACGCGTTGAACGCAGAGACACGTGTAGTATTGATTAACGCAATTCATTTCAAGGGTGAATGGAAGTATCAGTTTCCGAAGCAAGCAACACGAGAGGACAATTTCTACCTGAATGAAGTCGATTCAGTTAGAGTGCCAATGATGAATGTCAAGGAGACTTTCGGTTATGGTGTCATACCAGAGCTGGACGCAGCGGTGCTCGAAATGCCCTACAAGGACTCCGATCTCTCCATGCTGGTTATATTACCCAACTCCCGCACTGGCCTGGCCAGTCTGCACGAGAAACTGAAGAGCTTCGATATCTCAGAGATCACACAGCGTTTGTATCCAACGAAAGTCATAGTGAAGTTTCCGAAATTCAAGGCCGAATATGATATCGAGCTGAATGAAGCTTTGCAAAACGTAAATAATATTTTTTTTTGTTAACGCGAAATTGTTTCTCGGATTGATTTTAAAATTCCACTAACACACACGGCCTCTTTTGCAGCTTGGTATGGCGCGCATGTTCAGCAGACAGGCCGAGTTCGATAATTTGCTCGAGTCCAATGAGCGATTACAGGTCTCTAAAGTAGTGCACAAAGCCTTCATCGAGGTGAACGAAGAAGGCACTGAAGCCGCAGCGGCAACCGGTAAGCATGACACCTTTTTTTTCATTGGCTAAAACATCTTTAGTTTAGTTACTTGTAATGAATTTATGTTTTTAAGTTTAAGCTATCATCGTCAAGTCTGCTTCATTTGAAAGAGACTCATCGCTGTTTACATTTACGTTCATACATAAATACTACATATATTTATCTGCAGTGCAATAATTATCTACTTGTGTGTATGTGTGTTCTGTTTCTGTTCTTTCATTAGGCGCCATTGTACGCAAAAAACGTTGTGCTATGTCCTTTTCCGAAACGCCGGAATTTCACGCCGACCATCCATTCTTATATTCGGTTATCAAACGAATAAGTCACGGAGCGAAAACTTCACCATTTCCATTATTTTTGGGTACAGTGAACAACTTGGATGCTGCGGTCGCATCCGAAAAGCATGATGAATTGTGAAAAACTTGGGCTCATTTAATTTATGTAGTAGTTACTGTTGTACTTGTCATGCTTTCACATTGTTGTAATTTATCTCGTAAAGTTGGAAAAAACACTAGGAAAAATAAAATAAAAATTAGAAAGCAAGAAATTTTTAGAGGAACGTAAGCATTTGCGTCCATTTGGGCTAATTTCCACTAACAAGCCGCGCGTAGCAAGGAGGGATGTAGAGTGATACAGCTATTGTGATATTATTTATTGCGTTTGCGGACCCAGTCTGAAGAGCCTTTAAAGGTTAGATAAAAAAAAATGGAATACCACACAAACAAATAAAATCTATTATTAACAATCTGAATCTTGATAATCATAGAAACACTTTTACTAATCAATTTATTATGCAATAAGCCAAACATTATTCAAAACTTCTTTTCTGGCGAAAGGGAGACGAGACATTACATTGAGATATTCTGCTCTCCAGCGGACTTAACGTCCATCCCACCAAGAACGAAATGGCACCCTCTCGCAATGGAGTGGTGCTCACTCTCTTTACAAAGTTTAGATATGCATAGGCCATGCTGTAATTCCCGACATCAAGTTGGACAGGAATCGAAACCTTAGGGACCATTCCATGAAAGCCATAACCAATCTCTATGCCTGCAAGGAAGTTATCAGAAAAATATTGAGTCTGAAACCAAGCATTAACCACTAGCTGTGCACAGTGGTTAAGCGCCCCATCCTTTTCTATGAGTTCACGGTAGGGTAATGCTAATCAGAGAAGCCTTGAGGATCATATCCAGCAAAGTCCCAGAAATTTTACTAAATCATATTCAAACAGACCTTTGCGGCAGATTTCAGGTCAAGTGCAAGGCAACCAAATTGATTGCGGCTCATACCTGGAGAGAACTTAAGTTCGATCACACCGAAATTCTGAACAACATTTCCGTAATTATATGTATATATATAGGGGAATCACAGGTTTTCTTAAAGAATTTCAGAGAACAACTAATGAAATACCCGTAAATACTTGGGACCAGGCTCGACTGCAAAAACACGCATTTTTACTGATAGCTCAAAGCTGAAAAGTAAGATTGAAAGTTGATCTACTCACAAGAGCAAGGAAGCTTTCCTCCGACTCGGTAGTATTTCAGCCTCTTCACATCGAATTACAGTAGTATGGAGACTATACAGCAAACAAGCTCGCAAGGATGAGAATAAATCTGTATTCGTATGGAAAAGTAGCTTATGTCAAAAGGCTGGCTTTAGCTCAAATCGGCATTCGCAGCATACGATTGCGAATGACTCACTGATGACGCTGAGCCGTTGAAAAGAACTTTTGGCAAATAAACGCGCAAGAAATAGTTCCGATACTAACAAGTCGATATTCTTATTAAGTCTCATCAAAAAATTCCTTGTCGTTTAAAGAATAAAGGGAATGCCGCATTATACTAAAGCCAGCCACTCGACATAAGCTACTTTTCCATACGAACACAAAAATATACGCTCAGTAAACTCTGCGCGAGGTGGACATTCTCCGAAGACAAGAAATATATTTGAAGTCGATTTATATATAAAATGGCAAGATTTTTGAAGAAATAGTGGAATTTTTAACCTTCTATCCGGTATGAATGTTAGCGTTTGGACATAGTTTGGTTGAGGCCATAAAATAGCTGTTTCTCTGAGATGGAAAAAATACGTTGATCACCATTTTTCTCAAGTTCAAAGCTGATTCTGAACTCTTTTGGTCCCACAACGAGCCAAAACATTTGCAAACACATACACACTGCGAACATTTCGTTTACTTACAGTAAAATATTTCGCACACATAACCCTCTTAAAAAATGCCTCTGGCATTATTTCATTACCCGGTCTGATTTAGGTGGGCTGCGCATTCATGGGATTTATAGAAGAGCCTCCCCAATTCTTCGCCGACAGACCATTTTTCTTTGAAAAAAAATTGTTATTTTGTGGTTAAGTTACGAACCCCAATACATATCAAGAATACTGAAAATGAAAGAGTAAAACAAAGCTGGACTCGGATCGTAACATCCGTTCACGGATCGAAAACGATACGAAAGAAGATCACGTGATACGTCAGGCAGTATAAACTGAATGGGACAAAGAGTACGTTCACGTATGTCATAATCCGAAAAATGACGAGTAGTACGATATCGTATGTGACGATTCGAGCCCTGATTGGAACATTGGCAACCATCGAAGATGTAGAAATTATTAACATTTTTGAAATCGTTGCATGTGTACTACATACTTAGAGCAATTGTAAAGGAGTTCTTATTTAGTAGCTAGGAGCGATTTAATTAGCAGGTCTTTCAAGTGAGTGGAAGCTATTGAAACCCCACTTATTTTATAAAAAAATGTACTTGAACATAGGTACATACGTACATACACACCCATGTACGAAATGTATGAAATACAAAGTGATTATAAAAAGGAGTTATGTTTCTGACATTTTAACTTACGTCATAAAGCTTTGTTTACCAAAAAAAACAGAATGAGGTGATTCACAAGTTGTCGTAACAGTCATATTGCGATAAAGTCATACATTATAAAATGTTTAAAACTGTTTGTGGTTGCTATGAATTTTTAAGAAATATTTATACATACATGTGTATATAAAAAAAAATGTTCAGTTCAACTTTGAGCTATGCCAAAAACTCACATCCCCTTCCCTTTCCGCTCCGTTAACTTTGGAAAATGTGTTTTTAAATTATACGCCCTCATTGAGAAGTTTTTTCTCCAACTACAAATTGAGATAAAAAAGAAATGGTAACCAACTTTTTCAAATTGTTTGCTACTTTTTCATTATTTGACCAGCTTAATCTAATGCTGTTGGTCCGATTTCCATCACCTCCAAATTTTTGAAATTTGTTGCACAGTGTTATTATAAAACATGGTGTCGCTACCTCTGAAAAAGATACGTCGGAAATTACGCTTGTATAGCTTTTGAGCTTTTTGAATAATCATTACTATTGAGTGAAAAAATAAAACACATTATAATAATCACTATTTTTGATCGAAAAAATTAAAATCAGGTAACATTTTCTTTTCAGCGAACAAAGTTAAACTCAATTATTAAATATTAGTTTTATATTTTATTGGAAAAACATATCTGCGTGCGATCGAGCGTTTTTTTGCCATACTTAAAACATGTTGATTTAAGAAAAATAAAATAAAAAAATAATGATTATTTTCTGTTCCTGTTTTTAACCTTTGACTTTATAATACTCGTAATACAAGAGTTGTGAAAAATTCATTAATTTTTTAATGCATTTAAAGCAATAATGCCACTGTAAAAAATTAATGCATTAATTTTTGAAATGTAATGCAAATACATATCTCAATGCATTAATTCTGAAAAATATAATGCTAATGAAATTTATTTTCATTAAATTATCCAAACTAATGCTAATGAATAAATTTTGATGCATTAAAGCTTTTAGTAACTTTGCTGGTTTGCATTATTAAAAACCATTAATTTTTTTTCTAGTGATGTATAAATAACCTCACATGTACACGACTGAAGACCTATTCTGATCTAAATCAATCAATAAACCGTTTTTTAGTTCCATTTGACAATGTGTTTTTACCTATTTGACCTATTATTCCATTTACTCTGACAGGGTGGACACCAGCCTTAACTTCCGCCACTTTCTTTTTTTAACCTCAAAATTCTACCCTCAATGTCAATAAAGAAATTTTACTTTAATATAAAATTAGTTTATGTGTTATAATGCAATAAATTATTGCAATAGCATTCATTTAAAAATTTTTATGTTCATGTAAAAAAATGCATTAGCACTATTTCCTCTCAATTAATGCATTGAAATTTTCATTTATATTAAATTTCAAGAATTATGGCATCAATTTTTTATATTAACATTAAAATTGCTATGTATTAAAAAATTTATGAATTTTTCACAACTCTGCGTAATACAACCTGGTGAAAAATGGGGAATGCATCACCTTTTACTACCAAGAAAACATTAACGAATACGGTTGTAAGAAAATATGCATTGCAGTGTAAGCGAGGTGGTAATGTGTAGCCGAGGAGTTGAAACCCTATCGAAAGAAAAGTGTGAAAAGGAATTTAAGTATCTATATGTATAAGTATGTATTTTTTCCAACTAGGGATGCCAGATCGTAATAAAAGATAGATTTTTAAATCGATTCAAATCGAATTAAAGATAAAGCAGCCCCAAAAATAAATGTCATGAACTTTTGACAGGAATTCACTACCAATATATTATTTTGGTGCGCTGAACACGTATACGAAATCCGTTTTGCTCCATGACGTCAGGATTTTTCCCCAACCACAAAAAATATGGCGAGTGACAGATTCGTGTTGAGCGCATCAAAATATCCAAAAAATAAACGCCAAATTAGCGCTAAATCGCCCAATCTGAACAGTTTGCATTATTTCCGAACTATAATTTTTCCAATAATAATTTTTATGCTATAAGTAAATTAAACGATGAGCGTTCAAAAAATAGGGTTTTTAAGGCATTAGTTCCTTGCTTTGGTTAACCTTCAGTGAAATCATTTGAAACAGTTTTTAACCATTTCTGCTTTCGTTTGCAAAAATCGCCTAAGTTTAGAGTTTGGTTTTACTTTAATAATCCATCGATCTTTTTTATATATTTAACCCGTAAGCCATGCTTCAATCTGGCTTCGGTTATTTCAAACAAGCACACAGACTCCTTCACATTGACACTACGAACAACACACAACAGCATTCAGCGCCACTTTTAGAAGACAAAGTTTATTTAAGTCCTTACGTTTTTTTTTTGTTTTTATCGCTAAAGAATCTATGACACAAAAAATTTCTTGCATTATTCCCCTTACAGCTGTGATAATCACCCGCATTACATCGGTGGGGATGCCAGAAATTCCTCGCCATTTCAACGCCGACAGACCATTTATCTACGCAGTTGTGAATTTAAAGCGAATCTTATTATTTGCTGGCCAAATTACCAACGCCAACATTTAGAAAGCCGAGAAGGAAATTGAAAACAATTTTAAAAATGTAATTCATAAATATCTTTTTCAAATAATCCATTTTAAATTTATTGAACGTCGATGGCTTAACTCAATCATTCGGAATTTTTAGTAAATAAAAAATTTGCAGTTTTCATAATTTTAACGATAATTTCATATGTAGCACGAATACTTACAGTTGAAGGTTTGTTTTTTGGGCGATATCGAAAAACCTGTCGTATTGCCTTA